AAAAAAACAAAACAAAAAAAAAAACAAAAATAAAACATTACATAGGGTATACTTTTTCTAAATGTAACTGCAATAGCAAACAGAAAGAGAACTAAACATCCTAGGAAGGAAAAATAAAATCTAACTTTAATATAGATATGTTTATAAATTCATATAATTTTATAAAATATATATTTCTGAATATGAAGTAAGCATAATACAGAAAGTATAATTTCATTTTAAATTGTCACAATTTCCTTATTAGACTTTCCACACTTTCTGATTCCTGTTGACAATCGCAATGATAGAAGGATAAGTAGAGTTCATCAACTAAAAGAAAAATTCTTGGTATTTGATTCAATTAGATGGAAAATTACAAGTTTTGACATGTTACTAATTGTAAAATTTATCTTTGTTATTCTAAGCAAGTGCTTAGTGGGGTGAATCTAGATAGTCTCTTAGTGGTAATTTGAATTAGTCAGAAACTCAGAGAGGTAGCCTGGAAGAAATGTTTATGCAGATAATACTGAATGAAAGAATTTTTTTAAAAGATTTTATTTATTCATTTGAGACACAGAGATACAGAGAAAGAGAAAACACGAGCAGGGGGAGAGGCAGAGGGAGAGGGAGAAGCAGGCTCCCCGCTGAGCCAGGAGCCCGATGCGGGGCTCCATCCCAGCACCCTAGGATTGTGACCTGAGCCAAAGGCAGACGCTTAACCATCTGAGCCACCCAGGTGCCCCCAAATGAAAGAATTTTTAGAATCTGCAATTAAATTTATTGTAATTTAAAACTATAAAAATATTCATAGTTAAGTAAATGAATAAACCAATTAAGTTGTCCCATTCTGCACAATGCAGAGTGTATTATTTCAGCTAGTTTACAAAGAAGGTTTCTCATTTTTCTACTCATTTTAACCTGACTTCTATATAATGACATTAAGGAAAGAAAAAAATATGTGATTTCTCCAGTCTCCATATCTCTCAAGAAGAGCTCTGGACTCAGTGAGCTACATTTTCAGTGTTCTTGTCTCAAATGAATTTGAACCCTATATAATAGATCCAAAGCTGCAGAGCAGAAAAGAAGTGAACAACAGAGTTGTATGGTTTTCATTCCAATTACAGAATTAAACCAAACTATCAGATAAGCAAAAAATATTCACTTATCTACCATCAGAGTTTAATATTTAAATGTCAAATATCAAAATATTTTAATTTGTACTACAGCCTATTGCTTAGTGATGGTATTTTGGAAAATTTACTTAAAAAAATACTTTTCAAACTATCAAACATGTGCTCAAACTACATCACTGATTGAATTTGCAATTGGTCAAATCAAATAATGTATAAAGTAATGCATTGTAAGTTACTAGGCTTATTTATTTATTTATTTATTTATTACTAATCTATTCTCTGTTTCTATGTTTTTTTTTTTAGATTATACATATAAGTGATACACAATATTGTCTTTCTTTTTTTAAAAAAGGTTTATTTATTTATTTGAGAGAGCAAATAGGTGCAGGGTTAGAGGGAAAGAATCGCAAGCATATTCCCTACTGAGCACAGAGCCTGAAATGGGGCTGGAGCTCAGGACCCTTAGATCATGACCTGAGCTGAAATCAAGAGGATGCTTAACCTACTGAGCCACCCAAGTGTCCCAAATATTGTCTTTCTCTGACCTATTTCACTTAGCATAATGTCCTCTGGGTTCATCCATATTACCTCAAGTATCAGAATTTCCTTCTCTTTTTAATGGCCAAATAATATTCCACTGTGTGTGTGTGTTTTATCTATTCACTCATTGTTGGATGCCTAAGTTGTTTTCATGTCCTGGCTATTGTGAATAATGCTGCAATGAACATGAGGATGAAGATACCTCTTTGAGATAGTAATTTAATTTCCTTTGAATATGTTGCTGGATCATATGGTAGTTCTCTTTTTAATTTTGTTAGGAAACTCCATACTGTTTTTTTTTATAATTGTTGTACTAATTTACATTCCTACCAAAGGTGCACCAGTGTTCCCTTTACTCCTCATCCTCACCAACACTTGTTATCTCTTATCTTTATGATGATAGCCATTCTAACAGGTGTGAGGTGAAAATCTCATTGTAGTTTTGATTTGCGTTCCCTTGTTGATTAGTAATGTTGAACATCTTTTCACGTACCTGATGTTTGATCCATTTTTAAATGGGGCTGTTTTTGTGTTCTTATTGTTGAGTTTTAAGAGTTCTTACATATTTTGGGTATCAGTCCTTTATCAGATGTCTTATGCAAATGTTTCCTCCCAGTCTGTGGCTTGTCTTCTAGTTATTTTGATAGCATTTTTAGTAGAATGGAAGTTTTTAACTTTAATGAAATCCAGCTTATCAATTATTTCTTTCATGGGTTGTGCCTTTGGTATTGTATCAAAAAAGTCATCTAAATCACTCAAGGTCATTTAGAGGTTCTTCTTTGTTATCTTCTAGGAGTTTTATAACTTTGCATTTTACATTTAGATTTATGATCCTTTTCTTTTGGTCAAATCAAACAATGTATAAAGCAATGCATCGTAAGTTACAAAGCATTTAAAAATGGAAATAGATACCTTTATTTCTGCTTTGTATCAGATAAGAAGCTAGACTTCCTTTTCTCAAAAAAGATCGTATAGAAAGCAAGTCCACCATATAAAAGATTTACTAGTAATATTAGCAGCAATAGCTTTTAAGGACATACAAATAAGAATAAACGTAAATGACCTTGTACTGCCAAATTCTCAAAAGCTAAATATAATTCCATTATTCTTTCTTTTATAAACATGGTCTCATTACAAACATAGCAGTCTATTAAAAAATAATATTAAAGGGCGCCTGGGTGGCTCAGATGGTTAAGCGTCTGCCTTCGGCTCAGGTCATGATCTCAGGGTCCTGGGATCGAGTCCCACATCGGGCTTCCTGCTCCTTGGGAGCCTGCTTCTCCCTCTGCCTCTCTCTCTCTCTCTGTCTCTCATGAATAAATAAAATCTTTAAAAATAATAATAATATTAAAACATTAAGGGGATAATATTTTGAACAAAATTCTTTTTATTTATTTATTTATTTATTTATTTATTTATTTATTTATTTGAATGAGAGAGAATGAGAGAGAGCATGAGAGGGGGTAGGGTCAGAGGGCAAAGCAGACTCCCTGCCGAGCAGGGAGCCCAATGCGGGACTCGATCCAGGGACTCCAGGATCATGACCTGAGCGGAAGTCAGTCGCTTAACCAGCTGAGCCACCCAGGTGCCCCTTGAACAAAATTCTTAAAGAAAAATAGGAACAAACCAATTTTTGTTCATACCCTGTTATTGGCCTTGGCCCTTTAATGAAAAAAAAAAAGTTTTCTAATTAATATTTCATTTACCTTGAGGACAAGTACATAATGCAGTCATCAATTCGCTTAGGTTCTGAAATACCATTCATTTATATACATATTTTCTCTATTCATATTTACTATTCATATCACTTGTCAATTTGCATGTATTAAATCATCATGCATAATTTACCATATTTTGAATATTTTATTAATGAAAGTCCTTTTCTAAATTTTTATGTGCTCTTAAATTTTAAATACTCAAACATTTAAAAACTTAAAACTCAACAATCAAGTTTCAAAATATTGTTTTATGAAATGAAATATTTAATGATAAGTGTTAACTGTATGCTATCACTATGACTATTGGGCTGGAGAGTGGGGAGCTATTGTAAGCTCTTTTGCTAATATATGGAATTTTTAAAATAATAAATGGAATATTTTGTTTAAACCTTTATTTCACTTAAAATTAGCATAGACATACCTTTACCTAGCTAATGCTTTAGTTACTCTTTACTTTAGCTTATGACTTTTGACCAAGCATGATGAGTCTTAGTTTCACAAGTCATTTCATTAACAATGTGATTCCTAACAGAATTAAGTTAACCGATCTTGACAGTTTTATATTTCATAGAGTCTATTTCGAATATTCCATTCTTAGTTATGTGTACAATTAAAAAGCAAAACTTCCAACCCAATTAAAAATAGATTGCTATGCAAATAATTAGAAAGTTGTTGCATGAAAAGATATACACGAAGTAATCATCTTTTTACAATGTGAGAACGAATTATAATTGAGAAAAATCTGCAAGTCATATTGGAGTAGTTCTACTTCAATAGTTAACCTAGGGCGCCTGGGTGGCTCAGTTGGTTAAGCGACTGCTTTCGGCTCAGGTCATGATCCTGGAGTCCCGGGATCGAGTCCCACATCGGGCTCTCTGCTTGGCAGGGAGCCTGCTTCTCCCTCTGACCCTCCCCCCTCTCATGTGCTCTCTCTCTCTCATTCTCTCTGTCTCAAATAAATAAATAAAATCTTAAAAAAAAAATAGTTAACCTATACTGTGTTAGTTCTGTTATAGAAAAATTATTCTGACACTTGTTAAAACAGCAAGGAGGATTTCATTCAAGACTATTGTAATAAGTGTCAAGACTAAAACAATAGGGGGGAGGAGACAAAGCTCATCTCTAAGTATAGCAAAAATAGCTGGGGATATATAGCAACAACACAGTGAGAAGATCAATGGGTAGCAATTACTAAGGAGACATCAAAGGGTAGAAGCATTTTATTAAACTGACTGAACAAGATTCTTGCTGAAGGCAGGACAGGGTGACCAAGTGTAAGTGGTAGAACATAAGGAATTTGGTCAGATATCTTGGGGGGATCACATATTAAGGGTGGGGAATTCTCTAAACTGACTGAGCAGGATTCTTGCTACCGCTGGACTTAGCAGGTTGAAGATAGGACTCAAGGATGAAACTAGTGAAAAAATAATTTGAGTTTCTACCTTAGCAAAAAATGTAATAGTGTGCCAGTGATATGAATACTTCTACCATGGAGGGATAATGTTGTGAATTATTTGGAACAGATTTTCAATGCAAGTAACATTTGCCTATGTAAAATAAGCTGATATTAAAATCCTTTTTTTCATTTAGCAAAATTTGGCAAATAATGAATTTTTGATTTGGTTTTGATCCTCAAAGTTCCCCTTTCCTTCTGACCTTTCTTCCATGCTTTCCATTTCATGTTGCAACACAGCATTTACTTCCTTTATCACATCTATCTTCAAGGCAAAATAAATGGAAGCAGGAATACTGGCTAGCACATTTACAGTTTTTCACAGAAACCTCTACAGAAGTGTCTACTCCTACCTCAATTATAAGAAATGGTTCAAATTGCTGTAACTTCATGGATGAAGGCTGAAAAATCAAGAAAAGAAATTGTCATGAGTACATGAAAGCAAACAATTCTGGCCATAAGCTTATTGGCCAAATTCTAGTCACAGGCTTATTGACCAAATTGTTCTATAAGTAAGGAATGAAGGTGAAATTTATATTGAGCAGGCAAAATCCATATCTGTATACATTAATATACATAAATAAAGATATATTATTAATCATAATAAATTGACTATTGCAAAAATGTTTCCTATGATTTATTATTACACTTTAAATTGTTTACTTGTGTATGTTGACATACGTTGGCATATTTGAATAAAATTTTTAGTAGCGGATAGTGGGGAGAGGTGGGAAATCTAAAGTTTTTAAAAAATCTATATGAAAGACAAAAACCACCATATATTCAAAGAGTTGGCAACAAAATTTTCTGCTCCTATATTAAATATCAGGAAATAGTGAAATGTGTATCATAATTGAGTATTGTATAAAATAATGGTAATAAATGTAAACAAATTAATGAAAAATGATGCATATTAATATTGACTAATAAAGCATCATGCCAAAATAAAGTAATAGCAGTAATAATAATACATACATATTCAAGCATTTGTATCCAAAAACCCAGAGTTTCCAAATTAAACCTGGTAGCTCACAGAGCACCTTAGGAAAGGATGAGAGCATAACGTGCTGATTATATTGTTAAGCTATGAAAGCAGACGATACAGTGTTTATCTCAGTACCACTATAACATGACTTTTCAATCATGTTCATGTAACTATTGGCTTCATTGTTGGGAAGGACCTCATTTCCACTGGATTTCTAAGTAACAGACATTATTGCGCCATCTCCTTATCCATTCATTCCATTGAGAAACAGTGTTTTAGCTAATAGCTTACATGACTACAACTACTTTGTCCTTCAGTTAGGAAAATAATTAACCATTTATATAGACATGTTTGTTTATTTTGTTCCTCAGTTTTGACTCAAAAAGTATTAATACTTAGTAACCTCTCTCTTTTATACACCACCTGAAATCCATGAACACTTATCTTTAAAATGTATCAGGTTACTATCCCTACCATCCACATCCAGCCAACCATCAGGCACTTGGATCATTGCCAAAGCTGCATAATTGATCACCCTGTTTGTAACTCTGTTTCCTTGAGGTTATTTTCCACCCAGGAGTCAGAGTGATCTTAAGATATAGATCAAATACTATTGCACTGTTGTTCACAGCTTTCTAACAGCCTCCCTTCTCAGAGTAAAACCTAAATCCTGTCACTGCTTGTGAAACCCCACATTGACAGTCTCCAACCCTCCCCACCTCCTACTCTGCTCTTAGGACAGCCCTCCTTGCTCTGGTGATTCTCTCCTCAATATCCTCCTGTTATACCTTGAAAACACCAACCTTCCCCCACCCCCCAGAGAAACTTCACTTGGCCTTTCTAGCTGCAGAAGAGCAACGTGCTGAACATACCCGCATATGTGGCCTCACTTGCCTCTGGTCATACTTTGCTGACTCCTTTACAGAGTCAGCATTCTTAACCTGCCTTCAATTTACTCCCTAGAACTTATCAGCATCTTAAATACTACATTTTCTTTCTCTTTTACTTTTTTATGTATTTTTATTTTTTTAAAGATTTTATTTATTCATTTGACAGAGAAAGAAAGAGAGCACAAAAACTGAGAAACAAAAACAGGAGTTAGTGATAAAACCCAATGACTAGCATCAGCAGGGAGCAAACTTTTCTCTAGGAGTTGGAGGGACAATGGGTAGCGGCAGAGGGAGAGGGAGAAGCAGACTCCCCCCACCGGGAGCAGGAATCTTGACACTGGGCTCAATCCCAGGACCCCCCAGGATTATGACCTGAGCCGAAGGCAGACGCTTAACCCACTGAGCCACCCAGACGCCCCTCTTTCTCTTTTAAAAATACTTTTTTTCCCCTCAAGAAGAAAGAATGAAGTGCTTTAGCAAGGAACTTTTTTTCTCTTTGCTCATTCTCACTTCAGTTCAAAGATACATTATGACATAAAATACAGGCATACATTATTGTGCTTCACCTTATGGTAATTCATAGATATTATATTTTTTACAAATTGAAGGTTGTGGCAACCCTGCATGGAACAAGTCTATCAGCACATTTTTTCTTTTTTTTTTAAAGATACGTTATTTATTTGAGAGAGAGCTAGTGCATGCACACAGCGGGGGAGGGGCAGAGGAAGAGGGAGAGAGAAACTTAAGCAGACTCCGTGCTGAGTGCAGAGCCTGACAAAGGGCTTGATCTCACAATCCTGAGATCACAACACTGAGATCACAACCTGAGCCGAAAGCAAGAGTCGGACGCTTAACTGATGGCGCCACCTAGGCACCCCTATCAATAGTGCTTTTTTTCTAACAGCATTTGCTCACTTCATTGTTCCTGTGCCTCATTTTGGTAATTCTCATAGTATTTCAAACTTTTCATTATTATTATATTTGTTATGGTGATCTGTGACCAGTGATTTTAACTCACTAAAAGTTCAGAGGATGGAAAAATAAATTTAAAAAATAAATTAAAAAAATAAAGTTCAGAGGATGGTTAACAATTTTTAGCAACCAAGTATTTTAAAATTAAGGTATATACATTGATTTTAGACATAATGCTATTGTATACTTAATAAACTACAGTATGGTGTAAACATAACTTATATGCACTGGGAAAGCAAAAAATTCATTTCACTTGCTTTATTTTAGTATTTGCTTTATTTGGCTGGTCTGGAAAAGAATCTTCAATGTCCCCTATGTATACCTATAAATAATTAATAAATATTTGTTGAATCACCTTGCATCTTTAATTTGTCAACTCCTGATTCATTTTACTCTGAAATCAATGACAAAATAAAAGAGTTGTACCTTATTTTTTGCTTACTACAAATATTTATTGAAATTTTATCTGTGCCATGCAAATTGCTAGCTTTGAAATATGTTAGCCCTATTTATCTTGTGAGGTAGATATACACTGTATCATTCAGGTATACTTCGTAAAACAGAAACTAGTCTAGGTCTTACAAACAATCTGATTTTAATATAGAAGAAAAGTTACTCAGGTGGTTAGAAAAACCGAGAAACAAAAACAGGAGTTAGTGATAAAACCCAATGATTAGCATCAGCAGGGAGCAAACTTTTCTCTAGGAGTTGGAGGGACAATAGGAGAAAGTGGAGGTTGAAAGTCAAGATGAGGACCAATTTCATGGTGTATTGTACGGATGGCAGTTTTTGTGATTTGTCCTGCATAACTGAGCACCCTGACCTGCACATACACAGGCAGGCTAAATAATGTTGTTTGTGAGACTTGTGCTGCATGAGTGACCACGGGAGCCTGGTTAGTTGACATTAGCTGGCCTCCAGGTCAGAATTGGCCCTTCCGGTCTGGATGCCAAGAGCTATAAATTTTGCCTTGCATTCCACCCCCCCCCACCCGGGCTCTAAGCTGGACTGGCCCCCCTAGAATGGAATCCGGGAGAGCCAAGCACACCAAGCCCAGGTTCCTTGAAGATGTAAAGACATGATAACACAGAAATGCAACCGCTCCAAACTGCATGTAGGCGAACAAATGTTCAACTTCAGACCCCATAATTTGTCCCATAAATACGTCCCTTATGGGGTGGCTCAGGTGGAAGTCTCACCTGAGGGGAGGATGCTCCACCCAGGCCTCTCAATCCGGACTCTAACCTGTCTCTGCGGGGCTTTCTCACCCAGTTGATGAGTTTGGATGTTTCAGGTACCTGATTTGGTATAACTATGTCTTATTCTCCTTTACTACTTACTATTGCCCTCATCTATGTGCAGATTTCTCTTTTCTTCTTTCTGTTTCTATTATATTTTTTAATATCAATAAGGTATTTTTTTCCCCTTCGAAACTGAGATTATGGCTGCCATGAATATTTTCTTCAGAACACATGGTATAAAGCTGTCTGTGAGAGGCGGGGCCAGGGAGAAAACTTGATCTCTGACACAGAAGCTATTAGAAGCAGTGAAAAGAAAGAAAAAAGAGATAGGGAAAGAGAATGGGAAAAGAAGGGAAGGGAAGAAGGAAGAGAGAGAGAGAGAGGAAGGGAGGGAGGACGGAAGGAAAGAAAGAAGCAGGAGAATTAGCCCACCTCTTCATCTATTCCTGCCCTCCAATCTTCAGCTTTTGCTTTCCTTTGTCTTAACCTACCTAGAAACCAGATGTTAAGGAAGACTAAGACTATTTTCAGTTTCTGTAACAATGAATTAAAAAAAAAAAAATGGAACTGTTGAGGCATGGATTTGAGAGAAAACTGAATTTGATTATCGCATGAATAGTATCATGTCATTTTACAGATTCAAAAATTTAAGTCCAGAGAGATGAAGTATTTTGTGAGACCCTACAGCTTTTTAAGGACTGACCTGGAATTGGAAATAAAGGCCGGCAGACTCCACATCCCTCAGTTGTTGCCACCGATGACATTCTAAGAAAAAAAAAAAAAATGCTTTGATTTTCTCTGCATGGACATGGTATTTTGATATCGCTAAAAACAGGCATGTTTGTGGTGTGGGTGTGTGTTTGTGTATGTGTGTACAAAATGAGTCTATTGTAAATTAAATTGTTAGCTTAAATTCTTCAAGAAAGAAAGAAGGGATGTTTTTTTCCAGTGATGGTCGATAATATCCACCAAAGCCCGTTTTCAAGCAATCAAGTCATTCTAACTACCCATTAAGGCACACCGCAGCAACCATAACATGCTGCCTGGCAAACTGTAGGCACTCAACAAACGCTTTTTGGATGGCTCTTATGCCTTTGAGGGTATTACGATCGCAAAGCCTTTCTGTACACCTGAGATTGAACAACGTTTGTGATAGTGTGATTGTTCCTATAATTTATGTGCAGAATTGAATTTTGAATGTGAATAACCCAGGTATTTCACTTCCATTTATCCTTTGTAACATTTACTTAATACAGACTTTGTGCTCTTGCTCTGTTATGTTTTTGAAAGGTTTATTTGCTCTGCAGGTCAACTGTGGAAAGAACGTTTCATTCAACATTATAAGAAGGATTTTCCTCATTCTATTATTTCTACACAAATATTTATTAAAAATATATGGATTGGTTTACATTTATCTGATGATTCCCAAAAATGATTTGAGAAAACTTTAAAGTTACATGACCTGCTTTCTATACACATAATCCACACTACTAAGTAATTTATAAAAATCCATAAAATAAAAAATTACCTTAAAGGTCACAAGGCTCTCAGAAGAATAAATGACCTTTGATGCTGGAAATCACTGAAGGTTTTTTTTTTTCAAGTTTTGCATAATATATTATGCATCACTTCTCTCATGATATTTCTAGTAAAATTAAAACAAAGCTCAGACAGAATGAAGCATTATAGAATATGTAAAAATTTTAAGACTCTCATAATTGGTTGGATACCTAAGTTCCTACCTTGAAAGTAGAATTAGAAAATTAAGGGACATTTATCTTAAAATGGTAGCATGTTTTCTGATTATTTAAAATAAATAAAAACAGGGATTCTGAGAAAAAAAATGATAACGAGATCACAGTAGGAAGATCATTTACTGATCAAATAACAGATAAAACAGGATAAGAATTCTTCTTAATAATGTTCTTATCTTGGATTTGTAGAGACCATCACCATGTATAAAAGGCCAGTTTCATGTCAAGAGCTATCCTGGTTTCGGTCTAAGCTGAAATACTGAGTAAGGAATTTTTGGAGAGAGTCTGCCATGGGAACATTAAGTATTAATCTTTTCCTAATATGCCCAATGCAAAATTGTGAAGCCAGGTGCATGATAGGCATGTCTCCACTTTCCACACTTCTAGGAGCTTATATCCTTATCTTACAACATTTGGTTGGTCTGTAGTGTCCGCTAAATCTCTGCTAGGATCTGGAATCATTTCCTGATGTGGGATTGTGTCTTCATCACCTTCAAATTATTTCTGCACTTTTTATAAGACAAATATTTATGCTATGTATTCACAACTGAGTATGAAGTCATTCTAATATTAATTTAGCACACACTTATTGGATACATATCACATGTGGGTTATTACTCTAGGCCCCAAAAATGGGGCAGGGTACAAAACAGACAAATCCTTGCCTTCATGGAAGAGAGAATAGATACTTCCTATGTCAAGTGCTAAACGCTGTGAGAAAAAAAAAAAGAAAAAGAAAAAGAAAAAGAAAGAAAGAAAGAAAAGAAAAGAAAAAAGAAAGGTAGGGGCGCCTGGGTGGCTCAGTTGGTTAAGCGACTGCCTTCGGCTCAGGTCATGATCCTGGAGTCCCGGGATCGAGTCCCGCATTGGGCTCCCTGCTCGGCAGGGAGTCTGCTTCTCCCTTTGACCCTCCTCCCTCTCATGCTCTCTGTCTCTCATTCTCTTTCTCTCAAATAAATAAATAAAATCTTTAAAAAAAAAAAAGAAAGGTAGCCAGGGGTTGCACTGAAGGTAGGGAGGAGCTGAAAAGAAAGGTTGATATTTTATATAAGGAAGGCAGAGAAGACTTTTAAGATAAGGTGACATTTTAACAAAGATCTGAAGAATATAAATGAGTGACACAAAGCCATATCTGAAAAGAACGATCAGTCAGAGGAAGCTGCAAATGCATATGCAATGGGAGAGAAATGTTCTTTATTAAAAAACAAAAACAAAAAAACAGAGAGAGAGACAGATATGAATGGCCAGAGTGGGATGAGGAAGATAGAGGGTATTAAGAGAAAAAGTCAGACAGAGGAGAGAGGACCTGATCACTTAAGAACTTGTAACCTTATTAAAGATTCAGTTTTACTTTGAGTGAGAATGTGGAGAAAACAGAGGATTTGGACCAAAGGAACAATTTGACTTATGTGTTAAAAATATCACTTTGAGAGGTGCAGTTAGCATAGACTATAAATATGGAAGCAGATAAGGAGGCTATTGAAATTACCCAGTCAAGAATAATGCTGTCTCCATACTAGTAGTAAAATTGACATATTGTCGCAGATGAGAAGTGAACAGTTATTGTGATAGATTTAGAGGGCTAAACTAAGCAAGTAATCTAACGGATTTCTCTGTAGCATGATAAAATAAGAAAAACAAGATTGACTCGACAATTTTTTGATAGAGCATTAAGAAAGATAAGATTTCTACTTATTGAGGTGGCAACAATTCTGGATTATGTTAGAATAATTTTAGGGTGAGAGGCTTATGTGGAACAGAAGTTTGCTTTTGGATTTCTGGTGTTGGAGATATATTTTGACACCCATGTAGAGAGGAGTAGCAATTTTTGGTGGCTGAGTGTAAGTATCTGTTTGCTGTTCAGTATAGAGGTCCAGGCAGATAAAAAAATATATATATATGATTAACCACGGTCGAGGAATCATGCTTAAAGACATATGATGGAATGAGACCACCTACGAAGTGAATGCACACAGAGAAGAGAGAATATCTAAATATTCGACATAGCATACCCTGATGTTTAAAGGTGAAGGGACTGATGATGAAGTAACAACAGTGATGTTTCAGAAGACACCTACAGGAAGTGTTTAAGAAATAAAGGTTATCAATATAAAGTATGGCATGATTGGTTGATTTAGACAGGACATAACATTCAGTAATGTATTTGCTAGAGATGTGTTTCATGGAACTTATGAAGATTAATGCTTATCTCAAATGTGCTCAAAATAAAGGAATGAGAGATAGTGTCTTTAATAAGGGTAGTACAGAAATGAGGCTGTAGCTGGAAAGGGATGGGATATTGAGAAGATTTTTTTAAATTATGTTTTTCTTTGTTTTTAAAATGGGAGCTATTATGGCAAGATTTTACACTGATGATGATAGTTTAGGACCGAGGGGAAATCTATTTCGTAGGAGGAAGAAAGAATAACAGATAAAGTACATTCTTGAAAATTTGAAATGAGATGACACTGGTGGGGTAAGGTGTGTGCACAGTAACAGCAGAGAAGGTAGATTGTAGGTATGTAGATTCAAGTGCATTGGCAGATATTATGATGCAAAACTATAGTTCTGTAATGATTGTGTCAGTATTCTAAGTAAATAGACGAAATTACTGTTGTCGCACATAGGTATTAGCCATTGTTTTCTGAAGTTTTCTATCTGAAAAGTGCTTTTTTACAAAGCAAAATACATGAATAGTAGGCATTTTTGCACCGAATTGGTGGTTTTGAGGAGGATAAAGAATGACCATATTAAACTATGTTAGTTATAATGGAATCTCATAAAACTCCTCACATCATCATGTAGACAGCTATTAGTGGCCTACATGACGTCCCATTACATTTGCACATTGATCATGGAGGAAGCAGTGTCTTTTCATGTTCTATTTGCTTTAGAAATTAGGATTAGTAGAATCTGGGAATGATTTTTAGGCGAATGTTTGATCTACGAAAAAAATCTAGAAAAAATGAAATGTGGGATTCCTGGGTGGCTCAATTGTTAAGCGTCTGCGTTTGGCTCGGGTCATGATCCCAGAGTCCTGGGATCGAGTCCCGCATCGGGCTCCCTGCTCAGTGGGGAGCCTGTATCTCCCTCTGCCTGCCACTCTCCCTGCTTGTGTGCTCTCTTCTCTCTCTCTGTCTGGCAAATAAATAAATAACATCTTTAAAAAAAAAGAAAAATTAAAATGTAAGCCCTAAGATTTTTACCTTAAAATCTTACAACCTATATTTACTTACAACCTATATTTACAGGGCACTGTTTTGGATAATTTATATGGATTAGGTCTCTAAATTTTCACAGTAGGAGTATGAGAATTTATTAGTATTGCCTGGCTTTCCAAATGAGAATATTTTCTGATTACATAGATTATTAAATTATCAGTACAGTTTGATTATTTGAAATATCGTAGTGTATATAAGTAATGCAGAAGAAAAAATATATATTCTCATAAGATAATAAAAGCTAACACACACATACACACACACATACACGATTATTCTTTAATCATCTTCTTTGTAATCCATATTATGTATATAATTAACTATTTAGTAATCTCACAAGTGGACATCTATGTTTCTTACCCACATATGATAATTGTACTAATTTGAATTCTTACCTCTAGTGTAAAAATACCTGTTCCACCATATCCTTGGCAATAGTGTTAACATGCCATAGTATTTTTTCTACCCCATTATGTGCACTTAAATATGCTTATGTGTGTTTTATGCACTTTACATGTATTATATCATATATATAGAAGAAACATAATCCTTGAATTATGCTTTCAGAATATAACATTGACACAATTTCTTTTCATTTACATTGACCTACTGAATCAATTCTCAGATTTCTATTTTTACTAGATATATATATATATCTAATACACTAAAACTGTATATTATTTGGATTATTGCTTTGAAAGCAGTATATGTAGTTTTTTCTTTTTAAAGATTTTATTTATTTGACAGAGAGAGACAGCGAAAGAGGGAACACAAGTAGGGGGAGTGGGAGAGGGAGAAGCAGGCTCCCGCGGAGAAGGGAGCCCGATGCCGGGCTCGATTCCAGGACCCTGGGATCATGACCTGAGCCAAAGGCAGTCGCTTAACGACCGAGCCACCCAGGTGCCCCGAAAGCAGTATATGTAGCTTTAACGTGTGCTTTTAAAAATAAAATAACCCATCAATACTCAGTAGACCCATCACGCGTTTGTTTTTAGACAATATTTAGTTCTCAGACAGGGCCAGCCGTCTGACTGGAAAGCCTCACCGCACACGTGCAACCCATGGGCATGGGTTCCCTGACCTAAATGCACAGACAGTAGGATTGTACCATCGGCCTCCTCAGCACAGTGCTCTGGCCAAGGCTTTGTGCCCCACTGGCGATGCAGTTGGGAACGTGTATCAGAAAGTTTGCTGTATCTAGCATCTGCTTAAATGAACTGATTTAGTCAGCTGCAAGACTGGAAGAATATTTCAATCTAATTATATCTTGAAGTGTATTTGTTTCCCACATATCTCTAGTATTCAGGCTAATATTAAATGAAAATGAACATTTTTAATACAGGAGACTCTTACGGTGTGCCAGGGGCAGAACTTCGGATTTGTGTAAACTGCAAGAATCATGGTGACCTTCATCCGACTCTGGTCAACAGTCTTCTCTCACCTCAACATTTGTCATTCACTGATGTGCTTTGTGTCTTTGTAGTTTTGGCTTTTCTGGAATTTGATATACTTTTGAAGTCTGTGTGACTTCTTCCACTTGGCATAATATCTCTGAGATATATCCATGCATTTACATGTATCATTTGACCATTTATGTTTTTTGCTGAGTGATTTTATTGGAGGAATGTACCAAGAAGTATTTATCTCTTCATCATTTA